ATAGTTGATTATAATGCGGCATGAAATTGCATTATTATTACGCAGCATCCGACAATTTGAGCATTGTGTCTGCATCGCTATCAGATGCGCTTATTGTTGTTGTTGTTGCTATTGCTGTTGCTGCTACGGAAGCGCATCGTGAGATATGAGCCACAATTCACTCTAGATTACAATTAACAAGACACCTTAATCAATGCAAAGGGCATGCAACGAGCAACGAGCCAGCGTGCAACAGCGGAAATGTATTTTGTATTTGATTTTCAACTCTTGTCAGCGCACGAAACAGTTTTGGAAGAAAAACCTTTTGTGTGTGGGAAAAGTAAAATGATTTTGGACTTAACCTACTACAAATGTTGAGATCTCCAAATATATCACAGTTAATCTTTAAGCATATGATGAAAGTGGTAATCAAATAACCAGTTTCACCAATTCTTATGTATTTTCATATTTAATAATAATTGAGATTCGAAAATTCTGATACAATTATCGAGCATGCATCTATAAGCAGGATGCAGGCGTATATTAGTAAAGCTTTAAAGACTTAGAAAGGGGCGAATTTAAATAATAGACCGAAAAGGTCGTTGAAAGATATGTATATATTTCTATATGAATATATATAGAAATAGAAAGCGAACGAGAGAGGGAATAGAGAGGGCATAGTGACAGCGAGGCAGATAAACAATGCGAGAGGGAGAGAATAGAGAATAGAGAGAGACTGAGAATAGAAAAGGTATACCGACGGAGAGAAGAGGTGGTAAGTGATTGACAGAGAGAGTGTGAGAGAGAGAGAGAGCGAGAAAGACAGACAGATGTAGAGAATAGAGAAGACATTACGACAGGGAGGAGGGGAAAAAAGAATGTTGGCAGACTGACAGAGAGTGAGAGGAGAGAGATCGTGCTAGAAAAAGAAGGAAAGTGAGCGAGAAGGTGGGAGGGGGGGGGGAGAGGAAGAGAAAGAGAGAGAGAGAGAGTTAGAGCGAGAGAGAATTAGAAAGACCATGTTTTTATTTTACTTAAGGAGATTTAAGAGATTATTAACTGAAAGACAATGACAAAGGTGGAAAAAATTCATCAAATCTAAAGTCGTAAAGTTGATTGAAATATTTACGTAACAGCCGTACAAAGTTCAAGCGATAATTTAAATTTAATTGAATTAAGTCACATTCCAATCGTTTCTTATCGATTTTCAAAAGGAGCATCAATTAGATGCTTCTTCATAATTATAATGAATAAAACGAAATTTAAATTCTGAAGGCACACCTGAAAATTTATGACAGACTAATTTACTTGTTACCCAGTGTAAACGGTGTCCATTTTGCTATAATAACTGTAAATAGATGCATTTGTCTAGCCATAGAATTGGTAATACACGTAAATAACTTGTTGACATTATGAAATACGATAAAGATAATTGGTGAGATTTTAGGTTTAGCATATAATGACATAAATATAGAATAACGTACCGATTAGATAACACTTAGTATGAATGTAGATTACAATTTGTGAGTGAAAGAAATACGTGGTTTACAGTTTTCCTAGATACGTGGCTCAAAAACCCTATGAAATTAGGTCACTGTATTGCTCACCTTCACATTTTGCCACTTTTCTTTCGCTTTTCATAAGCATAATTATTATCAATTGGTAATTAGTCAATGTGATTATTGAAAACCTATTATAGCTCATCATCATTGCTGCTTTATCATGGCCACATGCGAGATATTGCCGAGTTATGGACAAAGATTTTGCAATTATTTATAATAATTACTTTGCTCAATATTTGTGTTAAAATTTTATGATTATTGCAAAATTTTTCCGAGAAAGAGAAATCGCACAACTTGCGCTTGCTCCCCTCCAGTTGGAGAAAATGCCAGACACTCACACACAAAAAGAAGAAGCAAATGCCACGCGCTTTGGGCGAGTGACTTATAGAAATGTCCATGTCCAAGTCGAAGTCGAAGTCGATGTGAATGTCGCTGTTGATGCCACTAACTAACTAAGTCAAGTCAAGTGGTTGCATGTGCGTGGTTGCTTCTGCTGCTTCAGCTGCCTCAGCTGCCTCAGTTGTTGTTGCCGCTTTGACGCGCTGGTGAAATGTGCGCAGGCGCAGCTGATATAAAATTCGCGGAGTTTCAGCAAAACACGCAAGTTGACAATTTGATGCGTTTAGTAAATCAAAAACGCTAATTACTTGATTTGGTAAGCGATTTCGAAATGCGAAGACAGGCACTAAAGCATAGAAATATGAGTGGAGAAAAATGAACAACTAGCATATACCCTGTAGGCAGATAGACTGATCACAAACATCAATTCTGACTAACAAAAATATTATCTTATCAAGTTATTTAGTAAATGTCGTATATATATTAATACTCTAATTAAAAGTCCAGACTTTCTATTATTTTTTATATAAGATTTGCTCTTTATTGTATATATATATTATTATAATAAATGTTTTCATTGAAAACCAAAACCATTTAAGTAATAAACAAGTTAAAGCAAAAAATATTATACGATTCCACAGTAAGCCACCAAAATGGTGTGGATAGCAGTGGTGGTGGCTATTATGATGCTGATGTGACCACCAGTTTGGGTGGGAATTAAACCCATAGGAATGATAGCCCGTTGGGCCAAAGTGTGGCGTATTTTCCATGGAACAGAACATCACACAGTCTTCAAATGGGTAATTTCTTTCACTTCGGTTTAAATGTTTCAACGAGAGAACTCAAACTGAGGCACAAGCAAATGACACGTTATTTAAATACTAATTTAATGCCTGATAATAATTAATAATTTCTGGTGCAATAGCTAGGAGCTACAATAAATTTAAAGTTTGATAAGATAAGCAGAGAAAGTATTTATTAGTCATGTAAAAGGAAATTTGTTCTGGATTTTAAAGTGTTTTTCATGAAAAAGGTTGATTTATATAAACTTTTTCCCAAAGCTGAGTTTTTTAATGGAAAATATGCTTATGATTTAAAAAATAGTTCAGAGTAAAATTAAAAAAAATATACTGATAGATTGATTGATTGATAGATTGAATTTTAGAGTCAACCTGTGTAAAATCAATTTCATATATCATATACTTTATATAGTTACATTATTTTTATTAGTCAAGCTCAATATACCCCACTTGAAGAGGCATTCAATAAGCATTGCGCGACACACTTAAAATAAAATAAATACAATAATTAAGTAAATATCGAATGTACCCAGTTGCTCTGCTTTGGCGCTGTTTAACAGTTTCACATAAATATTTGCGCTGGCTGCAGTCTAGTGAAATGCGTTGGCGAGAAAGTGAAATGCGTTTTAGAAAGGAAAAGGAAGCGTGCTGGGAAAACTCTCAGCTTGCCAAGCGCTTCAGCTAGTGAAGCAAATGCTGAGCTGACGAGTCGAGCTGTTCGCGCAATTAACGCGCAACCTTGACTCGGTAACAGCTTTATTATGTAGGTACATGCGTGTGTGTGTGTGTGTGTGTGTGTGTGTGTGTGTGTGTGTGTGTGTGTGGCATACCCCCATGAACCGCTGCTCCACTGACTCTGCCCCCTTTAGGCTGTTTGCCAAGATCTACGTTGGTTTCTTATTTTCATTTAGTTGGTACTATTTTTTATGGCTATATCAGTGACGAAACTTAACGCCCTGTTAATCCGGCTAAATGTAAATGGCGCTGCGGCAGCCCTGGCGCAAATAAATACCTATCAGAGGGCGCACCATTCAACTGCCCGCTCACCCAACCTCACCTGCTTCAGATCTATTTCGGTACGTTTAATTGTGTCTGTTTGATTGTTTTTTTTTTTTTTTTTTTTTTTTTTTTTTTTTTTTTTTTCAATTGCGCACGATTAACGCGTAAATAAGACGTGAAAATTTTGCAATTTTCCCGGCAAGGTTGATGTAGTTTTCCAGAGCTTTTCGTGCCTGCGGCCATGTGAGGCTGGCATTGAGCGCTGCTAATCAGTTGAGTTAAATCTCGCTGCCGATGGGAGTTAACCAACAACTTCTTTCGTTTCGTCTACTCTCCAGCTGGCAGCCGCCACTCCATTTTCATACTAGTTTGGCTAAAATGAAGTTGGCTTGCCAAATGGCAATTAAGACTAATTGGCCAGCCGTTGTTCGACTCGAAAAGTGCAGCCCACCACAGTCGCTGTTTTGCATAAACTCCAGCTTAATGAAAGGTTTCTCAAAGTTGCATCACAACTAGAAAATTGACTACTTAAACATGCTTAGATCATGTGTGCCGTTTAATATTAATTTTAACTTCGCGCTAGCCTAAGACATCAATGGAGTTATCTGTGCTTGCGATTATGGCCAACAGCGCGAACGCCAACCTAAATACCAAATGCCTTAGCACACATAACTTTGGCCACGGCTTCAACTCTGTCCATCATCGCATCGCATCGCATTTAAGCTTGAAGTAAGCGAGAGTCGATGGAGTCAAGCAGCTGCGCAAATCTTCAAGTGAAAAAGCGAAAATGAAGGCGAGATCAATTTTAGAATATGCTGCAGAAATACCCNCTAATGTCTAATAAATACTCTTATATTTCTATTATTTACTATTAATTCTTGCCAGCAGTTTTCAATCAATTTTTAAATAATTTTCTGTTTATATTAAGTTGAATTTTTTATTATCTATTGTATCATATCTCTTTTTGCATTTTCTACATTTCTATGTCATTAATAAAGCTGTGAAAGTCCCTTATGGAATACCAGAAAAGCTTGGGCTAAATAAATTGAAGTCTCTTCGTTAAGTTTGCATATGCTCAATATGCCCCGTTAACTCCTTTTCTATGCTGCATTAAAACAAACAAACAACGGTCATTAGCAACTGCTTGTGTTTTAGGCGCGCTCAATTCAAATTGGCCGCAGCAGCTGCTGCAGCAACAACAACAACAGCTGCGCGCCTGCGCTCTCACTCACTCTACACAGCGCACTCACTCTCCATCTTTCTATCTCTCTCTCTCTCTCTCTCTCGCTCTTTAGCTCCAGCTCGTGTTTAGCTGTTGGCACTATTTCGGTCATGACATTCGTTCAGTCTGCATTTGACTTGCGCTACGTTCGGTTCGTTTAGTTAAAGCTCTCTGCTGACATTCGCTCTGCGACTGCGACTGCGACGGCGCCTGCGCGAAACGTCAAGTGAAAGATTTCGTCGGCTGTTGTTATTTTCGTTGTGAGTGCGGCGGGTGCATGTTAACGGTAAATCGTGTCTGCCGAATCAGAGTAGCGAACGCTTGCGCGGCCGTGACAAGAATTTTGCTGTGGCATTCGCCACAAATGTTCGAAGAGTTAATGAAGTGCAAAAATGTTTGTTGTCTCCGACATTGTTGTTGCTGTTGAAATCGTTGTTGGTGTCTCCGAATTGGTGTTGCTGTCGTTGTAAAGCTGAGTCTGCTGTGGGTGCTGCAGCCGCAGCAGGCGCTGTGAACAATTTGATTTGCGGTTTGCAACGCCTGACCCAGGCCTTGGCCCTAACCCTATCTAATCAACTGTCAAGTGAAAATTGTGAAGAAAACTTTAAGCTGAGTGGGGCTCTGTGAAAGATCTGCCGGCCTCCCCCTTGAGACAAACGGAAATCTACGGTAAGTTTTATCTGAAACATTTCAAATTCCAAACTGAAAATTTCACTTAAGTTTTTATGATTTTTTGTTGGTTTTTTTTTTTTTTTCTTTTTGGAAATCCATTGTCAATTTTAAATGAAATATTCGAAATTCCAAACTGAAAATTTCACTTAAGTTTTTGTTTTTGTGAATTTTGGGCAACAGTTTTTTGTTAATTTGTGCAGCTTGAGTTTCAGTTCCCAGAGCCAAGTTGATTAGCGCTAAGGGCGCGCCCAATTAGCGGGCCAACCTGGCCAGGTAATAAAAGACAAAAAGGCAGATGAGCCAGCCGGCTCTGACACTCCGTCTATTCTAATTGAATGAAATTAACCCACTTTTTGGACGCTGTTAAAAAAATTCTTTTTTTTTTTTATAAAATTGTAGCGCTCTTTGTCTTTTTTTAATAATAATTGCCGCGAGCCCAAAAAAATATTATAATATAACTTGAAGTTGCTAGTGGGGAGTGATAGACTAACAACTACCCTGCTGTCCGATTTGTGGTAGGAAGAATAAACAAAGTAAAGAATAATACCTATCGACGCTTGAGGTATTTTTGAATTCATTTATGTATATATATATATTGTATATATGTAGGCTCATTATCATCTACATTTTCTCTCCCTCCATCATACCCTACTTTAAGTTACTTTACGGCGTATAATGAATTACTTCTTTTTGTTTGTTAGCCGCAAGCTCAGACGCCAGCTGCCAAATTATGATGAGCTGTAACCCAGTCCAGCTAGTAAATAGGTAGAACCTAGCCTTAGGCTTAAGTCTAGCTTTGGCACTGGACCCATCTACCTGAATCTGGCTAGCAACACCTCTTGGCTAGAAAGAAAGACAACAACAACAGCAACAACATTTTCCTTTGTCTCATGCTTTTCAATGTAATCAATCAATAAAGTTTGTAAGCCATGTTTACAATGCAGCACAGTTGGGCCAAATTCTAATGTTGGCTTAAATGGCTGGGCTCAACAGTTAGTTCTTTTGCTTTTGTATCCAAATTTGGAGCGTGACAAGAATTTCCTTTTGCTATGCAAAACTTGTGCGTTCTGTTTTACAACAAAATAAATCTGCGTTGGCTTCGGCTCGAATTTTTCGTTTTGGGGTCAATTTGATGTTGCGGCTGATCTCTGCTTGCCAATTGATTCATAACTTAGCGGTAGTTGGTCTATTGAAGTTCATTGTTTGCAAATGGGAATTCACAGAGTGGAAGATGCTTCGAGAATATATATGTATGTGTATATATTATTTACATACATATAATATTTTCCAGATATTAACAATTTTAGTTTCTATTTGTTTATAATTCTTTCTACTTCTATATATTAGCTTCATATTTTAATAGCATTTATTGAATGTATAATAAAATAATAAGGTTATACATACATATTTATATATAT